CCCATCAAAGTCTTTTACAGCAAAAGAACACAATCATGGATCCTGCTCTGTATCACATATTGTGTCACTTGAGTCTCCATCAAACCAGAATAATAAGCCTTTCTTTGACCCTAATGACTTAGACACTCTGGAAAGCACAGGCCTGAGACGGTGAAGAAGGCCTCGAGTTTTGAGTTGACTCGATTTCTCTTCATGACTGCATCAGGTTCTGTGTTTTTGGCCGCAGGGTCATGGTTGTGCTGCTGTGTTGTTCTCACCGTGTAGCTGACATGTGACTCCATTTGCCATGTCATTGGTGATCTGAACATCAATGACTTGAATATGGTGGTATTTGATTTTTTTTTGTTGGTTTTGATTAAAGTTACTGTTTTCCCTTTTATAATTAGTAAGGATTTTGTGGGAAGATAATTTGAGTCACCATAAATATCTTACATTTCATCCAAATTTTACCTACTAGTTTAGCATCCATTCTTATTTCCTCAATGAATTATTTTTAAATGATTGCCAAATGGCAATTTCTAATCTTCCATTCCCTCTACGTTTACAAATTAGTTTGCTTTTCTCCATTTATTTATTTACATCACAGGGGGTCCCTGTTTTACACAATGAGATATAGCGTACACTAGCATGATTCTCTTGGTGATCTGATTGTCTCCATTTAGAGAGTGGACACACAGCAAGCTGGCTTCTGGAGCAGCCAACATTCTTGGAGGCATCTTTACTTCCTGATCTAGTGAAATGTCCCAGGCTCATCTTGTACTTTATGTCCTAGTCTGGATTCAACCATTTCTTTGAGAAGCCCAGGTTCCTGGTATTCTGAAGTCCTGGTCTGGGCATCAGGTGTGTTTAATGATGGTGTCCTGATACTCACAGGTGCCCTCAGAGAACAGAGGCTGGAAACACACACACACACACACACACACACACGGTCTCTATGAGAGATAGAGGTAGAGATAGAGTTAGAGAGAGAGAGAGAGAGATTGGTTTTTGGTTTGCCGGTTGGTTTCCTTGTTGACAGGGTCCCACCATTGCCATGCTCTGCCCCAGCCTCCCAGTTAGCTAGGACCTTGGGTGTATCATGGTGCTTGGCTTGCTCAGAGGGGTTGAACGTAGGCCTCCCGGCAGTCCCAGCCTCACACACTGACACCCTTATCACTTGTGCCACAGCCTCACACATGTATATTTTGAATCACACACACAGACACAATTTTACACCTATGCTAATTTCTCTATTATCAGTCTGTCTGTCTAAGGAAATCTTGAATTCACTCTGGTAGGTTCAGTTCTAATCAAACATCATAGGGCTCATTCTCGCTCTCCCCTCTTTCAGATGCATAGCTACCTTTTCTGGCGGGGAGACACATGGCTCCAGTTAGCCCTAGTTCGTGCAGTTCTCCATCCGTTTACTCTATGCAGAGCCACCTGACTCCCCACCTCTTGGTCACATGCCTCAGGTAAATTCCCAATGACAAGGTGCTGCTCCATTATTGGGTAAACAATTGGACTTTGATATGGTTTCCACATATTTATTAGTTCATTTCCTTCCTTACCATCGCTGGCTCGCTCTCTGTGTCTACACACATAAACGCACACACACACAGACACACACCACTAGCAACTTAACGGGTAGGGAGACCCTGTTTTATCCCACGGGTGGGAAATAATCGTAAACTGATCAGATGCAAATTAATTGGACTGTGTCTTCAATTAGACAACAAGTTAAAGAGGACAGTGATAGGAATGACTATTCTTCATTGTTTTTAGGATGTGGTTCCTATCCAAATAATGCCAATATTTAGATATAAGTCAATACTTCCCTGTTAAAAATCACCTACATGATTATTGAAAATACATTTTTTGTTTTAGTTTTTGTTAGAGAGCACATGAATTCAATGGAGAGAAAGTGGGAAAGAGGGAGCAAGAGAGAGAGAGAATAAAGAAAAGCATCCCCAGGGGGATGGCCATGCCTCAGTCTCTTATTCATTCTCCTCTTGAGATTTGGGGGATGTATGCAGACATGCCTGACACAGTTTCTAAGCCACTGAGTCCAGGACTGGAACAGCTCAGTGGCCATGTGGGATCCAGTTACCTTAACTACCACACCACCAGCTGGCCCAACCTGCAATGCATTTTCTACTCTAAATTGATTAATAAGATGTGAAACTTTTGCAAAAAAAAAGATGTGGATAAAGCTACTGGTTTTTCACAAAGGCAGTTTTTCCCCCCATAAAATTATCTGCAAGTGCAAAGATGCACATGAGGCACAGAAGATACAGAACACATCAACCAGTAATTCAAAGGTTTGCAAGGTGTTTGCATACGGCCAATAATATTATGCAAATGTCTAAGCCAAACCTCTCCATTAACAGAGAACACTGCCTATATATTCACTGAAAAATCTATTGAAATGCAGAGTTGCTAGACAACACATGGCATTGCCATATTGTTGTCAGCCTCTGAGGTACGGCGAAGCAAGGTTGTTTGCCGGCTATGACTTCACTATTTCTCTGTGATAGAGCTGTTGTTCCGGGGCTCCATGGCTGCGTTCTGTAGGCCAGCATTTGCATTTACATTACAGATCACCGTGTGAAGGATGGTGCTTACCAGGGATGCATCTATGTTGATTCTTCCTTGCTCTGGAGCTTGTATCATGATGATGGGAAATGTAAGCTCCGAGGCTGGCACACCCCCACATATCTGTGGGCCTTTTGTTTGCTGTTTGCTTCTCAGGCGCTCTATGAAATTGGTGCCCCAAGAGGGAGAGGACCTCCCAAACACTGCCCCAGCACGAGGATTAAGGGACGTGCTTGGGCTTTTGAAGGCTGCTCTTTTCTGCCAATATGCCTCAGTCTCTGCTCCCTGTTGCAGAGTTGCGTGTACTCTGCAGACCTACGAGCAAGTAGGGCAGGGGTTGTATGCCTGTTCAGCTCAGTAATTCAGTGAGGATACCAGATCCTGGGCATGTGTGGATTGAACTTGTAGACAAAAAGCAAGAACTGTCAAATGGATTTTGCTCTGGGACATATTTGCCTCCCCTGGGCTGTGTGGTGGGTGTGTGGAGCCTGCCCCTGGGTCTTAAATCAGCTCCGCTGGCTCTCTGCAGCCAGAAGTCCAGCACAGGCATGGCCGCTGCTCTCTGCAGCCGCGATGGTGACAGTTCCATGGAAGAATATGCCCTTGGTGGTTGTCCTCGAACTTCCGGATTCACAAAGCTTTGCCATTGTGTCCCCTGTTAAGGTTGACAGTCCCACACTGCAGCACTTTGTCTGCTTTTGTAATACCAACAGTGTTTTGAAAAGGGATACAGTTATGTGGGGACTATTGCTAACTTGTGATGTTGTCATTCAGCTCATGGGTAGACATTTCCTTCCGTTCTCCCTTTCTTTCTCTCTCTTTTATTTTTTCCTTTTATTTTTCTTTCTTCCTTTGTCTTTTTGCTCTTTTATTTAATCAGTCTCTTAATCTGAAGCTTATGGTTTTCTATCCCACAGAATCTTTTTTTTTTTACTATTATTTCTTAAAATTTTCTATAAGGCATGTGTGCTCACCAGAGAGAGAGAGAGTGAGAGAAAGAGAGAGAGAGAGAGAGAGAGAGAGAGAGAGCAAGTCACCAGGTCTGGGGCTTGAACTTCAGTCAGCCATGTAGGAGTCTAGAGCCTTAACTACCATTGCTACCCCCACAGAACCTTTCTAAAAAATTTTAAATGTTTCATTTAATTTTTTTTTCTTTGCATAAGAGATATTTTTGCTATAGGGTGTGCTGGCTGGAGAGACAGAGAGACAGAAAACAAAAAAATCGCCCCCCATGAGGATGGCCCGTCCACAATCCTCTGTCCTCCATTCTCCTCTCAGTATTTGTGTACACATGCACACATGCCTGACATGAATTTTAAGCTGCCAGGTCCAGGACTTGAACTGTGGTCAACTACACGAGAATCCACTGACATAACCATTATGACATCTGCTTGTCCCACCTCCACAGGATCTTTAATCATCCATTTCCTGCCCTCGTTCTTTTATGATACTGTTTCCTCCACACTGTAATCAATACTCAGTGTATACATGCTGTGTGTGTGTGTGTGTGTGTGTGTGTGTGTGTGTGTGTGTTTTAATGAATCCTGTGTGTTTGCCCATGCTGGTTGAGCACCTTCATCTCTGCTTTGTCTGGTGACACCCGAGCTTCCATATTCGTGGCGTAATTTATGGCAGTGCTTACTAGCTGGGTTATAATAGCATAAGAAGAGTCAGGAAGGCCTGGGCTGGGCATCAGCTCTGAAAGTCATTAGCTGTGTCTACTTAAAACGAGGATGGCTTTACCTAGTTTACTGATTTCTTCTACATACTGAAAGAAGTAATGGATTTAGTGCTCATCTCAAACCAAGCCTATGATTAAATAACAGGATAAACATTAGAGTATAAAGTCTTCAAGGGCTGGTGGCTTTGACTCTTGGGTGGAGAAGCACCTAATACAGTGCCTGGCATGCACACAGTAGGCATTCCACAAACATGCCCCAGCTGTTGCTGTGGTTCGAACGCGGCTGTACACCTTCCCTCTGTCTTTGAAAATAAAGACCAACTCTGTGCCTAGAAAGCACAGAGTCTTTCTGACACAGTCTTTGATTTAGTTAGAAATGCATCTATAGAGGAGCCAGAAGGTGGTGCAGTAGTAAAACATGAGGCTCTGTGAGGCCACCCCACATGGAGAGGTCCCCGTTTCAAGTCCGGAGACCTCCCTGAGCACCATGGCCCAAGCATGCCTGTGATGGGTGGCTGGCTGCAGGCTGGGGCAGATGGTGGTGTCAAGACCCTTTTGAGGGTGCTCGCTCTCCCTCTTTTTCTCTCTCTGTCTCTCTCACTCATGAAGGAAGAAATAAACATTAAACAAAAAAATAAAGGAAATCTATCTGTAGAGGCTTATCAGAAAGCAAGCGATCGGTGTGGTACGGCGTCTTAGGGAAAGCGTCCTCAGAAAGGTGACGTCTGCCCTTCTCCCTCCTCAGGCGTCCTGTTCTCCCTGGTGGTGATGCTGTACGTCATCTGGGTCCAGGCTGTGGCCGACATGGAGAGCTACAAAGCCATGAAGAGGAAGGACTGCTCGGACTTCAGCCCTTCTGTCCTGTATGGCTGGTCCTTTTTTCTGGCTCCAGCTGGGATCTTCTTTTCTTTGTTGGCTGGATTATTATTTCTAGTTGTTGGACGGCATATTCAGATACATCATTAATCACACTGCTGATACCTGCATTTTCTTGGGGGATTTTAAAAGAGTCTCCTTTTTTTTTTTTCTTTTGTTTCAGTGATCTCAGTGTATAGGTAATAGGTGTTCCTTCTTAGTTGCTTTTGGATTAATCAATTTGTTTGTGATTTCCTTTGATAAGAAGGTCTGAGAATCTCTCCAGACACCAACATGTTTCTGTCTGTCTAAGTGCTGCAAAGGACCTACTAGAGTGTTCTGCGAGTGGGTAAACGGGTGAGTGAAAGGCAAACGGTCCCCCTTCGCTCCGTTGCATACGTTCAAGTTCATGCAGGCTGCAAAGGCCTGAAAACAGCATAATGCCTTTGCATGGACAAATCCAGATTTGGTTTAAATCTTCGTTCTTGGCATTCACTCCTGCTACTCATTTGAATAGGAGATCTTTGGAGAATAATTAAGACTGGAAAAACAAATGCAGTCAGAGGATGTATTTCGTTCCTTCCCCACACATCCACACGCAACATCTACTGACTCCTGTGAGCCCATGATTCAGAATTTAAAAATAAACAGCAGTTGTTCTTGTTAGCGGGAGACACACACTCAACGACTGAAACAGGCCACAACAAACCACACTGAAAACAAATACTTACTCCACGCTCTTACCAACAGTAGCTTGGTTACTTAATTTTATTCAGTTATTAGTGTATGCCTACGTAAATCTGAAACTGTATTTAAAATGAACAGAGCTGAACACTAAATTATGTATCTAATGCCCATTGAATTTTCATAAACTGAGTCAATTATATAATGTAATATGGTTTAAAATACGTAAAAGTGGAGTACCTCAACTTAGTACATAATTCTACTTGAATATTTTTAAATTCCCATTTAAAAATGATATTGCTAATGTGTTCAGATGTGAAAATTTATTGATGAAACGTGCTTTTAATATCCTCTAGCTATAAACTTTCAAAATACTTCCATGTGAGGATTATAATAGTCCTGTTTTATTAGAGATGTGGACATAATAACTTTCCCCAAGATTTTATGGGTCCCAGTTCTTCTGATTATTTGGTCCTTTGAGTTATTGTCTCTCAATGTGTTCATTGTCTTGACAATAGGTATGTTAACATTTACACATCCAATCTGCTATCTCCTTTAGCCTTTAGAAAGGAAAAAAATACCTTTTCTTCCAGGAGTAGTTATTTATTATTCACTAGCATAGACATTTCGCATGTCAAAGATGCTCCTTTTGCACTCATATTGATTGAAATTTAATCCATATGAGAAGCCTAAGTCTAGGTTTTTGCATCCTGGAAGGCTCCATCATGGTGGAGTTCGTTCGGTGTTAGGGAAGGAACAGAGAAGCAGCACGGCAATGAGCATTGTTGGAGGTGCAACTGTCATTCTGCAGCTGCTATGAGAACAAAAAGCTTGCCTCCAGGACGGAAGTCACCACCTAGAAGCTGATCCGCGGTAGACGGACTGCTGCTTCCCACCCAACTCTCCCTGTAATGGAGAAGCTGTTAGAGCCTTCCCTGAAAATCTCGTACTTTTCCATTAAGCCTTATTTCAATGGGAGGGAGCTTTGGAGGAAGAGCCAAGGGCTGAGGTATCTTCAGAAACATGAGGGGGTTTAACTGACAGGACTTGGCCTACAATGAAAATTGTTTTTTTAAAGATTCAGGGGTTTAACTGAATCTCAAGTCATTTCAGTGATACCAGCCTTTAGGTGGTATCTTCCTTTTCTTTTTCTTCTTCACTTTCAATTGCTTCATGGGCTTCTTTGATGTGGTTTGGTTATTGGGAAAATAACGGGAGGCTCTAATAAGCATATTGACAGTGATACCGAGATGATGCAGATGATGCTAAATGTACTTGGTTAGTTTGGTCATCTGTAAATACAATTCTTTTTTGTACAGCTTTGGAATGGAGCCCGGTCCAGTTGACTGTATGCCATTTAAATTTCACATGCAAGCTGCTCTTAGTAAATGTTTGAACATTTATACATTTTAGATGGCTATCTTCAATTCTAGAACACTTACATGGCTACCTTATATTAACTATAAGGCAGATGACTGAATAGCAGACACGTATGACACTTGTACACAGATCCACATCAAAAATAGTTTATAATTTCAAGGCATCAAACACATTATTTTCAAAAGCACTTTTTGGTTTACTTTCCAGCAATGTTCAGAAAGAAGAAAGGTGAGTTGCATTTGCTATGTCAGTGAGTAAGATATACTCAAAAATAGCAGAACGTACAGAATATTGTTGTAATAACTTCATATCTGATTTGTGATACTTTATTTCCAAAGGTCCATGCTATGTCTGATTCTCTCTTGGGTGTATTGATTAATTTTCAGATGTGTTCAAGCAAAGGATTAAAATCTTTTCTCAAAGTGTTGCTTTTTCATCAGAATGTTTCAATTGAATAAAGTATCTTCTCAGTGACTCTTCTAGAAAGAGCGAGTAAGCCGGCAGTGGACTTTGGTGAGAGCCATGATCTCTCTGTGTTTGTTCAGTAGGTTTAATTCACAGGCACTGAAACCGGCTGAAGAGGCATACCGGGAACCTGAGGATGGGATCCCACTCGGGTGCTGGTTTTCTAAAAGGAACTCACTGTATCAGGCTTGCTTTCACTGGTCCTTTGGTCATTTGAATCGCTAATATGTGAAATATACTTGTCTCATTTGAAGATTAAATCCATTTACAAAAGAACAGGATGGAGGTGGTATCAGTCCTTGGTAATTATGTCTGTCTGCCTTTCTAGCTGTCTGTATCTGTCAAGCATCTATACGGTGGATGTATGTGTATGAGTGTGTGTGTGCGCGCACGTGCACATGTGTGAGTGTAGTTGTGGATCACAAATTGGGGCAGAAAAAGATAAATTGAACAGCATAAATCAATGTATTTGAGCTAAGCAAAAATTTTTAAATCAATTTTTCATGGAGGCCAGTAATGAAGTTGTGGTTCCCTGGGTGCCACTTTAACTCTTTTACTTCACTGATGACGGTTTATTCAGTCGAACACCTAATTTGATTTACACAGTATTTTCATGAAAGTAACCAAATTGGGCTTCCAAAGAGATGGAGAATGCCAGAAGTGTTAAACACACGTGAAATACTAGAAAAATTAGCTGCACGCAAGTCTGTAGTTGGGTGGAATTGGGGGAAAAGACTGATAAAGCTGGGATTCCATAAAAAATATATTAATGTATAATGTACACATTTCCAAGGAGAACTATTTTTTTTTTAAATTTATTGTCTGAAAGAGTTAAATTTATGGAGACATTTTCTGAGTGATGAATAAGTGTATGTGCAGAAATACCGAAAAGAATTTAGAAAGACAGGATTTTAGCCATATTAAAAACTAAGGAAGGCAGGGAAAGA